CCTGGAGGACCCGAGTTCAAGTCCCAGTACGCACATCAAGCAGATCACAACCATACGGAAGTCCAGCTCCAGGAGATTTGACGCCTCTACCTTGAGGGCACCTGCCCTCACATGCTCATATTACACACAATTAAAAGTAATAAGAATAGGGCTGGAGAGATGGCTCAGAGGTTAAGAGCATTGACTGCTCTTCCAGAGGTCCTGAGTTCAATTCCCAGCAACCACATGATGGCTCACAACCATCTGAAATGAGATCTGATGCCCTTTTCTGGCATGACATGCAGACAGAACACTGTATACATAATAAATGGATAAATAAATCTTTAAAAAAAAAGTAATAAGAATAAAATCTTAAACAAATAAAGGATTGTCTCTGACCACCTATAGGAAGCATCTGGCTAGCGTGGCTCCCCCTTTACAGGTTCTCTCAAGGCCACCCAAGTATCCCATTCCAAAGACACAAAATTTTAGCTCCAAATGAGTTTAATCTTCAAACCAAGGATTAAACCAAGTATTTATTTGCCAAGATAGTTGTATTCACCCAAAATTCCATGGACTAGTATTCTGGGTGGGGGTGGGTTGCAAGAAAGGGATGACCCGGAGGAAAAGAGAGGGAATGTGTGGCATGCTGGGCAAGGGTGTCCCTAGGCTGCAGGTTGGTGACTTCCAGGCTTCAGTCCAAAGGGAGAATCCCAGCTCAGCCCCACCCTTGACCTTCAGTGGAGGGGATGCTGTCCCTGCCCAGCGCCGGATTCCTGGGAGTCTCCTCCCCATCACAGACCTTTGTTCACACCTGGAGGTCCTGTGGGTCCCGGGAGCTGCCCAGTGGAGCAGATAACCCGGTACTCTCCCAGCGGAGGCTGTTCCACTCTCCCAGGACCTGGACTCTCTAGCCCCAGACACACATACCATAGAGCTGAAGAGTCCTCCATTCCCCAAGAACAATCTCTACCCACCCCGCACACACTCATTAGCAAGAGGCCAGCACTCTTCCTGGGGGTCATTCAGCCGGCAAGAACATGTCCTTGGTAGGCCTTGGGTACCTCTACCTCATTCTATCACCCCACTCATGGGGGGTTACTCTGGGTGACTTTGGGAAGGCCTTGAGGGCTGTGGAGGCCACTTAGCTCCACTTTTCAAAGCACTCTGTGCTACAGTACTGGACAGACACTCAACCAGGCGGCGGCAGCCTTAGCCTCTGCCTCTCAGGAGTCAACAGAGAATCACTGAGCCCTGCCCCTCCTTGGACCCGCTGCCGACAGCCACAGTACCGTCCCTCTCTCTGCGGCCGGCCAACTACGAAAGAATGGTCTTGTTCACGGTTCTGTTCCCAGCCCCAAGCACACAGCCCAGCATATTGTGACTTCTTTGTAAATATTTGTTATGTGGATGGAGGAAGTAAACGCATATATCAACACCCCTCTGCGAACAGCCCAAGGATCAGGAAAAATCCAAGCATATCCTCCTGGGTCTGCAAGGCTAAGGAAGTGGCATCCGCTCCCAGGAGGGAGTAGCTGCCGGTGGCTCTGTCAGTCCTGGTTAGGTGAGGGGACAGGTTATTGGGGCAGTCAGCTGGCTAGAGAGTCACAGTGTGCGGCTGTCAGGGCCCCCCTTACCTCTCATCTGTAATGGTCTCTGGCTTTTTATACACTTCCTGCTCTCCCTGAAGCGCTCTATGGATTTTATTACATTCGCACATGGTCTCCTGTGGCAAGAGCCACAGAGGACAGAAACCTCAGGAGATAATGCAGAAGCTGAAGTACAGGCCTTCTGTTCTTAGGTAGGAAGGCATCTCAGAGTCTTGATGCTCAAGCCTTGCAGACTTCCCTCAGCAGCATGGCCGGGGGCTGGTCCTCTGGCCTATGTGTAGCCCCGTGGGTGTGAGAGGCACTCTGTTTTCAGATGCAGACAGGGTCATGTAGGTGCCCCTGTCACAGGACACCTCTCCCCACAAAGTTTTCTTTCAATAAATTCAGTAGGTAGTTGGATTTGCCCCTGGTTATATGTTATATGAGCTGTGTGTGTGTGTGCCCGTGCCTGCGCGCGCAAGTGTGTGTGAGTGTGTGTGTGTGCATGTGTGGGAGCGTGCATGTCAGGGTTTCTCTTCATAGCCCTGGCTGTCCTGGAACTCTATAAACCAGGCTGGCCTTGAACTCACAGAGATCTATCTGCATCTGCCTTCTGAGTGCTGGGAGTAAAGGCGTGCGCCACACTGCCCTGCTGTTAAACAAGCTTTATAATAAGCACTTAACCCACTGAAAATACTTTCAAAATGACTTTCATGTCTGAGGTTACTTGGTTTTCTCTAAAACTCATGTTTCACAATTCCCATTTCTAGAGCAGATAGCTGGCTTTTAATGGGATTTATAATTTCAACTATTTTCTTTTCTTTTTTCTTTCTTTTTTTTTTTTAAGATTTATTTATTTATTATGTATACAGCATGTATGACTGCAGGCCAGAAGAGGGCACCAGATCTCATTACAGATGGTTGTGAGCCACCATGTGGTTGCTGGGAATTGAACTCAGGACCTCTGGAAGAGCAGTCAGTGCTCTTAACCTCTGAGCCATCTCTTCAGCCCTCAACTATTTTCTTAAGGGACAAATATATAATTTGGTTGCCAGTGACATGACCACATCCTAAAGATTATGGATGTGCATTCAATACCTCGTGACACTTTCTCTCTTTCTCTCACATGGAGAAGACCCCAGGGGTTTATACTGCTCATGAGAGGCCACCAGGCAGCATTACACAGGTGTCTCCAATATTTTACCCTTATACAGAATCTCTTCCTTAATTTGAGCTTTACCTGCAACTTGTCTTTTTGTTTTGTTTTTGTTTTTCGAGACAGGGTTTTTCTGTGTAGTTTTGGTACCTGTCCTGGAACTCACTCTGTAGTCTAGGCTGGCCTCGAACTCACAGAGATCCACCTTCCTCTGCCTCCCGAGTTCTGGGATTAAAGGCATGTGCCACCGCTGCCTGGCACAACTTGTCTTAATTAATAAAGACACATATGGGCCAGTGAGGTGGCTCAGTAGGTAAAGGTGCTTTCCTCCAAGGCTGACGACCCAAGTCTGATTCCTGTACATGGTGGAGGGAGAGAGTTGACTCCTGCAAGTTATACACATGCACGTATACAATAAATAAATGTAAATATAAAAAGTGTTTTTAAAAAGAGACAACATAAGTAACACCATATATACAACACCAAATATATATACACACATACATATACACACACACATACATATATATAAGAGAGAGAGAGAAAGAGAGAGAGAGAGAGAAGCACCCACTATTTGGGCTAAGCCTAGCCTTTGGCTTGCCCATGAGCTGAACCCAGCCACATTAATAACCCTGGCAAGAGTTGCAGCACTGCTCTCCAGAGGAAGCCAGCCTGGACTGCAGAGTCACATGGCGGCAGCGGTTTGTCAAAAAGCATTCGGTAACTGAAACAGGCCGCAACAGCAGCGGGTTAGACTGAAACTCGTGACTGAACAGGCAGTAATTGGCAGGAGGAACTAACATTGTTTTAAGATGACTTCTAGAACATGCGATTCCTTGGTCATCTTGGTGGCTGAAACAGAAGACGAGAAATCCCCTCCCCAGAGCTGGTCATTTCATTGCCCAACTGTCCTTTGCCCTCACGTCTCACTGGCTGGAACTAGTCACAAGGCCCCATCTCCCTGCAAGGGCCTGGAACAGGGGAGCAAAGGGACTCTCGGCCTCTGCCAGCGTTCTTGGACTTAATGTTCGAATTCTCAAGACCAGGGAGTGCCTTCCAGTTCTTTGGGAAGCGGTAATTAGTCATTTGACTGAAGTATAAATTGTCCCCGTTTTATTTTGTGATGGAAGAAGTACACATGCTGTGCAAATCACCCAACGAGAAGAGCATTAGGACAGGGGATGGCTCTTGATCCCTGGGAGGAGTGGCAGGGGAGCCAGGGCATCTGGGATGGGGACCCAGGTCACACCATTCCACCTGAGACCAGGGTGGCTTGTGGAGACGGCCAAACGGGCCAAATAGGCAAGGATCAGAGCCAAGATGGGTGCCCACACCCAGGTTGCATGGTGGGACAGTCTGAGAGCTTGGGCCTCAGGCACCATCCTGAGGCCCCAGGACATCTTCCCAAGGAGTATCAGAGGCTGAATGCTCTCGCGCCGAAACTCTGCAGCAGCCCCTTCTTCAGGATCCAGCCCACACTTCTGAGGCTGTTCTTCGGCCCATTTTCTGCCCATTTGCTCTCTCGGGTCTTTGCTCCCTTACCTCATTAATTTATTGGTGATCTCTCTGATTTTCCTATAAGATCACCCCACACTGCACCTCTATACCCTATACCCCACCAACCTTCACCTATCATGGGAAGGAGGTGATTGCCCACTTCTGAAGCAACTGTCATTCTGTTTACGTTCAAGTTCCCAGGTGAATCGAATGGAACTCTACAATATGGCATCTTTCAGGACAGAGCGCGCCACAAATATTAGCAACGGGAGTTACTGCCCCCACCTTTATCTCCCTCAGGAGTAGCATCCCACAGCTGTCCTCTGGAAAGCACATAGTTTCAGGAAAGGTGATTTGTAGGTAACTATTATTTGAATGAAGTGTCTATGATAATTGCTTCTTGTAGTAACTTTCAAAATACACCCACGACGGGCAGTGGTGGAGCACACCTTTAATCCCAGCACTCGGGAGGCAGAAGCAGGCGGATCTCTGTGAGTTCGAGGCCAGCCTGGTCTACAGAGTGAGTTCGAGGCAAGCCTGGTCTACAGAGTGAGATCCAGGACAGGCTCCAAAGCTACACAGAGAAACCCTGTCTCGGAAAAAACCAAGCAAACAAACAAACAAACCCAATATACACCCACAAATTCTTTGAAATTGCCTCTCCCCAACCCTAACACAACCAGAACATTGATTCCATTTGTTTCAGGGACCTTGGTGACAAGAAACGTTGCTTGGGCAACAAGCTGGACAATGAAAGGAATTCTTCCAGAGAGAAACCGAATTAGCCACACTGTGTCCCCGCTTGGAAGGTGGCAGCTTCCTTTAGCCTGGTAATCCACCATGAAGGCCGGTTTCACACTTGAGCCCTGAAACAGGTCCGCAGGGAATTGCTCCTGGGGTTGAAAATTAGAACTCGACAAGGTAATTTGTCCATTTTACCGCATGCCTTCCTGGGCTGGGGCCAACCGGGATTGAAACTGGTCTCTGAGTTTCGGAGCATGCTGGATCTGGTCACCCCTGGTTGTGGGGAAGGTTTGGCTCACTGGAAGTCCTAGCTGCTGGCCGTGGTGTGTCATTTCTCTGTCCCAGGTGGAGGCAGGGAGCACTTCCTGCTGGGCCTGCACAAGAGCCTGCTCCTGGGGTTTGTCCAGCGTGACAGCGGCAGTCGGGTTAAGCATTGCAGGTGTTTACTCCCAGATATGGTTTTCTATCATTTTTGTATAGACACAAATTACTCATTAAAAGCTAAGAAGCCCATGAACATTGCCCTTATGACCTGTGCATCCTATTTGTTTTAAATATATTTTTATTATTTTTTGAGAATTTCATACAATGTATTTTGATCATATTCATTTCCTACCCCACCCCCATTTCCCATTTTTTTTAAAAATAAAACACAATGAAAGAAAACTGACGGCTGGGCGGTGGTGGCACACGCCTTTAATCCCATCACTCGGGAGGCAGAGGCAGGCGGATCTCTCTGTGAGTTAGAGGCCAGCCTGGGCTACAGAGAGAGTTGCAGGAAAGGTGCAAAGCTACACAGAGAAACCCTGTCTCCAAAAACCAAAAAAAGAAGAAAAGAAAAGAAAGAAGGAAGGAAGGAA